GAGGTTCTCGCCAGTTCTCCGGTGGATGCACTCGAAGGAGGTCGTGCAGGCGCGAGCTGAACGGCGGTGGCTATCTTCTTGTGCAGGAGACATTGTTTCATGGTCGGCGTGCTTTCTCATTGATGAGCTGGTCTCGACTTGCGTGGCGTCAGGTTGTGCAGATTGCCGCGTCGCTTGCCCCCGGCAGTGAATGCGGTGCACGTTCCCCCTCGCATCAGTATGCGCGGGTTGTTCTCAAGGGCGCGGGGGCCAATCGGCGCCAGTTTCGTTCAGGGCGCGCGGCGGAGTGACGAGCTCCCCGTCGCCGAGCAGCTCAATCCGCTCAGAGGGCCATTCGACCAGGAGAGCATCAGACAGCATATCGGCACTTCAAAAGTATCCAGGCCAACCGCCACCGCGCGATGTCATGGATCGCCCTCCTGCCCAAAGGAAGTGAGCCAAAGGCCACGCATGAGTGAATTCGGTGCCCGTTGCTTCTTGGGCCTCTGTCCACGCGTAATTCGGACGCCGAGACCCAAGCCGCTGCTGCTAATCCGAAGCGCGCGAAGGGTTAGCCCACGCATTCGCACTGCTCTCCCAGGATTTGTCCCTGGCCGCAGTTCCCGTGCAATGTTCTACAGCGTGGCGCCGTGGCTCGACTCGCTAGCATCAGAGAGTCCGCGCCAGCGAAGTCCCCTTGTCTTTGTCGCGTGCGACGTTGCGGCTGTCTTGCCAAGGTTGGTGCTGGGATGCTCTCGAGAGGATCCGAGTGCCAGCGGGGTGCCGCAACCTCTCAGCGTTTCTTTTCTTTGTTCCTCGCAGCTTTGCCATGCATCTAGGAGCGTTGCAGCTCGTGCTTTCTTCGCGCTCAGGCATCGTGCAAAGCTGCCCTCTGTCGGGCTCGGTGTGCGACATTGCGATGTCGCCGGCTTCGATGCTTCTGGAGGCGGTGCGGCGTCGCCGCCGTCGCTGCGGGGGGTGGGCGGAGGATGTGCTGGTGGTGCGAGGCCAGTGCAGTCGTGCGTGGAGGATTTAATGAGTGCCTGTTCTGTTTTTGAGAGAGTGGAGACTCTCGCGAAGCCCACTTTACGGCCTAACCAGACAGTCTCTGTGCTGAGCTGGCCGAGTTCTATTTCAACTGGCACGCGTTGATTCTTTCCTGCTGGGCCACATGCTAGCATGGCGTGACTTCGAGATCGATGGACTGGCCAAATGCATCGGGGTTTAACTCGGACGCGCGGCCTGGGCGGACGCTGTGCGCGAGTGGTGGGCTCGCACGTTCGACTTCCATCGCGCTGCTTGCCCGTCCAATGTCAGATTGAGTTGGTGCAACGCAAGGGCTCTACCTAGTCTAAGCTACCTTGCGCAGTCCCTTCCATGGCCGCGATCTGTCTGGCGCATAGAAATAGTTGCCCTCCATAAGATGATGGCATTCGTATTTGAGGTTGCCATGAATGCCGCCAGTCGCTGTAGGTGTAGCCACCACGCTAGCCACCACGCTCTGCGAGACTGGCAGGAGCAGTTGCAAGAATGGTCAGGGACGGCCAATCAGTCCATCCCGCTCGCTTGATGGAGTCGCGGCCGATGGAGCGCATCGCGTTGGAAAATCGAGCATCGCTTCTTGCGGCGCTATGCCAACTTTTACAGAGCGGCGCTTTTTTTAGACATCCCAGATGCCAGCTTGAGCGCTGCAAAAAGCGGTGGCTCGCGATGAACTTGCTTCGGCTGCGATTGAAACCCGTATTGGAAACGTACAGAGCTCCTATCTTCTTCCCTCTGTGCCTTCCTCTTTCCTCCGCTGGTTGACATCGCGATCTCCGAGTGTCTGCGTGCTTGGGGCCTTGGCGCGGTAGCTAGCGGGGCGGGGGGTGGGCGGTGTGGGAGGATGTCTTGCGGTGCCGCGCGCGCTAATGCCAACGTTGCAATGGAGCCCGCGCGAGACCTTCTCAGGAGGGTGGACGACTTCGCACCACTTGCATGTTTGTGGTCTTTCCGCGTGCATCTTCGGGTGCTGCGATGAGAACGGATCTCTTTGCCGCTGCCTTTCCTGCGCTGTCCTCGCTGTGCTCCTCTCCTTGCCTTCCTCACCCTACTTAATCCTCGGCCAGTGTGTCGATGGTGAATGCGAGTGCGCAAACTGCGTGCTCAGTCGCCGCACCGCCAGACGTCCGGGCGTGCTGTGTTTCCACGCCTACCACATGCGCAGGGCGCCGGGGGCTCACGGAGCTCCCGCAGACCCCTTGCAACAACTGGCCGCGATTGCAGTTGCTTGGTACGCCACCGACTTAGAGGCGTGTTGGCACACTGTAACCCCCCAGGTACGGTCGATCGTCATCATCATCATGATCATCATCATCATAATTACCATCATTTTTTGTGTTACTATCATAATCGTCGTCATAACCAGCATTATCACTGTCACTTTCGTCACCGTTGACCATTACCACCGTCATCCTCACCGCCATTTTTTCCACCATCACCATCATTACCAGTACACTCAGCATCATCACCATCACCGCCACCACCATCATCAGCGGCATCATCATCATCATAATCATCATCGTCATCCTCGTTGTGGTCGTCGTCGTCGTCGTCGTCGTCGTCGTTGTCGTCAGCAACGGTTTCGTCATCATCTCCATCAACACCATCGTCATCCTCATCGTAGTCATCTCACACACTCACATTCTGACATGTTCATTCACGCATTCAAGCACAGCCGTACGCTCACGCACAGGCGCACATACACTCATCTCGAAGAAGTCTCGGGCAGCAGGCTCATCTGTGAGTGAGATACGGGGAGGTATCGAGCGGGAGCCCCACCGTATGGGCCCCCCCACTTCATCTTGTCATCTCGGGGGTGTCATCCAAATCCTGTAGCAGCCGTCGTGTTCTGGGTGCTGACGCTTGAGTTTGGAGAAAGCTGTGTGGGCGCCTCGTTTATGCATGAACCGAACAGAAACATCGAGCGCCCCTCCCCATATAGGCATTTTTTTTTTTTTTCCTCCTTCTCCTCTTGTTTTCATAAAAATATAGAATGCGATAACAATGGGTCATCCAGGTTTTGTCGCCGTCGTCCCGTTTGGCCGTTTGATGTCTGAATCTGGAGGACGTCGAGCGCGTGAGCCTCGCTTATGCTGAGTGGAATGCGAGGGGATATCGGGCGCCCCCCCCCCTTCCGGGGCCTCCGCCTCGTTTTTTTGAATTCGAGAGCGCGCCATCCAAATCCTGTAGCTTCCATAATTTTTGGGCTTGAGGGGGAGGAGGAGGAGGAGGAGGGGGAGGAGGGGGAGGCGGGGGGGGGAGGAAGAGGGGGAGGAGGAGGAGGAGGAAGAGGAGGAGGAGGAGGAGGTGGAGGAGGAGGAGGAGGAGGCGGAGGAGGAGGCGGAGGAGGAGGAGGTTTTGAATCTGCAGGAGGTCTTGCTCGGGAGACTCGGTTCGAGGAGTGCCCGAGCGGGAGCCCCGCCCCATAGGCCCCCTCCCCCATTTTTTTGTCCGAGGGGGTCGTCCAGATCTTGCAGACGTCGTCCCCTTTGGGCGTTTAAGGTTTGAATATGGAGGAAGTCTCGAGCGGGAGTCTCGCGTAGGAGTGCGTTGCGAGGAAACCTCGAGCGCCCCCCCCTCTTCATCCATAGGACCCCCACCTCGTGTTGGCATTCCGACCAACGGCTTGTTCTGGCCTCATCGGCGAGCAGCACTGGAGCGTCTCAGCGGCTTGCTCCGCGCACCCGAGGCAAGTGATGATGATGCTGCTGATGATGCTGCTGCTGCTGCTGCTGCTAATGCTGATGCTGATGTTTATGTTGTTGATGATGATGATGATGATGATGATGATGATGATGATGATGATGATGATGATGATGCTGATGCTGATGATGATGACGATGGCGATAATGACGATGATGATGATTCTGATGATGCTGCTGATGATGACGATGATCATGCTGATCATGATGATCATGATGCTGCTGCTGCTGCTGCTAATGCTGATGCTGATGTTTATGTTGATGATGATGATGCTATTGACGGCGAGAAGGAGGAGGAGGAGGAGGAGGTATGAGGAGGAGGAACAAGAGGGTGATGATGATGAGGAGGAAGAGGACCAGTGCAAACTCAAGACGCATCAGCGATGTTGGAATATCTCCTCCCTCCAAGCCAACCTTTCATGGGTCTCTGTAAGATGTTTCTCCATGCGGGACGTACCCCATCGGAAGACAGCTGTCTGGTAATGCTCAATCATACCACAACGCAACAACTGGGACGTCAGCGTCGAGAATCAACGGGATTAGAGGCGTCCTGACAATCCCAGAACGTGCCAGAACACCGTGTCTGGGACTGCAACGCTGCGAGTCAGTCCTGACAATCCTTCATCGTGCCAGGGCACCATCCCTGGGGCTTCCACAGCGTTGCCGGCAACCCCGCTTGAGCCGAAGCACGACCGCTGGGCGGCGAGGATCGGCCATTCAGGAGCTGCAGTGCTATTCTGAAGTCGCTGGGTGTCCTACTCCACTGGATGTCCCGACGACTTTCTCTAAGCGTGTACAAACTCCAATCGCGTGCATGTGACGATGTTGATCGCAAGCTCCCTTGCCCCACAGAGCGTCGCTTTGGAAGGTGCCGCCAGGCCGTCCGATTCTGCAGCAGCTTGCCAATCGTACGCGTTAACCTTTTTTTGTCCAGCCCTGCGAGTATGTTCTCCATCTGTGAAGGAAGGGCTGCCCATACATTGTGCGAGCCGCCTTCGTTGGCCTCCTGCGTACGATAACTGACGAGGATGAGCGGTGACTGCGGAGGACCGACGTGGACTGAGGAGGAGGACGAGGATGAGGAGGAGCGGGAGTAAGCCTGAGCAGGACTGAGGATGACTGAGGAGGACAGGACGACGACGACGACGACGAGGAGGAGGAGGAGGAGGAGGAGGAGGAGGAGGAGGAGGAGGAGGAAGAGGAGGAGGAGGAGGCGGATGACGACGAGGCCGAGGAGCAAGCGTCGGCAAGCGTCCGCAAAGCCCACGGCGCCCCCAGGAGGCAGCGCGCAGAACGCCCCCAGGCAGCCGAGCCGCCGGTGCCGAGCCGCGCGGCCGAACCGCCGCTGCCTACAGGGCCGGTCATCCAGCGGCCGTGCGAGTACCGGCCGCTCGACGGCCCGTCTGCGGCTCCCGCTCAGGCGTGGGGCAGGGGGTTGCGGGCTCGGGAGGGGGGTGGCAGGGGGAGGGGGCGAGAGGGGCAGGGGGAGGGGGAGGAGGAGGAGGAGGAGGAGGAGGAGGAGGAGGAGGAGGAGGAGGAGGAGGAGGAGGAGGATCCTGAGATCCTGGCGCTGCCATTTTTCCACAGGTTTTTTTCTTCTCGCCCGGTTTCGGGCACCGGGGCCCTCACGGAACGATGCGGCCCGAAGAGTGGCGCAGAGAGCCTGGGTCCGGGGCTTTGGTCGTGGTTTTCCAGGATGTTTCAATTCATGTTTGTACGCTTGGGAGGGCTGGAGGGGAGGGAGGGATGAGGATGACGATAATGAGGATGAGGTGGATGAGGATGAAGAGGTGGACTAGATTAGACCTCTCCATCAAGAGGTCCCGGGCACACCCAAGCCCCAGAGCTCGAGCCAAGGGGCAATAATCTGTAGGAGGGGGCGAAGCGGTTTCAGCAGCGCTGACCGCCCTCCGCCGCTCGTCAGCCACGTGTGGGCGCGGTCGGGACCAACTCGCGCTCGCCTGCGCTGCAGGGCGGGCATCGCCAGGGACGTGCGCCGCTCGTGCCGCAGGACTCCTGGCTGCCCACAGTCTGCAGCCACAGTGCCCGCCTGACGGCCATCGGCGGGTACTTGCGCGACTCGTGCAACGCGTGGGACTCGTGGATGTAGCCGCTCCCCATGACGGGGGGGGGATGTGTGCAGGCATCACTCATGACTTCCTGAGCAGCCTCCTGCACGGCTGGGCCTTCGCAGCACAATCGACCACATCAGGCTTGGCGACCACCTCATTACACTGCCAGCACGTCCACTTGCTGCCGACGGGCGCGAACTGGTGGGTCGACGGTTGGATCTCCACCTGAATGGCGGCAAGTCACCTTGTCTGAACTGGCCCGCTCCGACAGCCACGAGTCGTTCAGCCGGGTACAGTAGCGCCTGGCGTCCACGTCTACGGACTTATATGGCCACTGTGTCCCACTTGTCGGTGCGTGGCTCAGTCTGCTGCAATCTGACTAGGGCATCCTCAGCCGCCTGGGCCGCCAGCTGGTCCGCGCACCCGTTGCCCGTGTCCAGGACGGGATCGTAGATGGGCTCGTCGTCCGCATCATGACGGGTCGGCGTCCAGCGCAATTCCACAGTGCGCTCGGGCCTCGCCTGGAGAGCACACCCGATGCAAGCCCACAGGCCGGCGTTCCTGCCACCACAACGTGCGCGTCCGCTGTCCCACAGGCCCCCAGGCCACCTCGAGTGTGCGCCGGTCCGTGACGCAGGTCAGGGTGCACACTGTGCACCCCAGCGCGAGAACGGAGGCGAAGATCTCTGCACGTGGGACCTTCTGCCTACGCCCAGGCAGGTGGGAGACGATGCCCGCGCCGAACTCCCACTGGTGCTGCTCCACCTTCTGTGAGGTCGCCAGGCCTTCTCCGACTCGCCGCCTGCAGAGGTCAGCCCTGTGGACGCCACCCGAGCCACCACCGAGCACGTACGGCTCGCCGCTCGCGGCCCTCGACTGCTCCAGCACGCCAGGCTCAAAGTAGCGCTCCTCGCCGAGGCTCCCTACTGCAGGGCACTGTGTTGGCCTTGGGGTTGGTGCCCCGCAGCCAGAGGGGCGGCTGCGCCTCTCGTCGCGCGCAGGCATGCCCGCGCTGCGGGGGCACGGCCGGACCCAGCGCACCAGGCTATTTTTTGTGCCTCTCGGGGGGCCCTCGTCGCCACGGCCGGCCTCGAGGGTTTCCCCTCGAGGTCTTGGTCAGAGCGAGCTCTGGAAAAAGGTCGGGAGAGCGAAACCGACCAGCCACGGTCCTGCACGCTCCTGCGGCCGATTCAAGTCAGAGCGGCCAAGTACTGGCCAGATGCCCCCCCTCCCCCTCCTCCCCCTTCCCGCCCACTGTCGCGCCGTGGGATCAGATATCGAGCACCAGGGGCTCGGAAACAACCTCAGACATGTGATGCCTTGATTTGTTTCAGCACGCGGTTCCCGGAAATCCCGTCCCTGTCCCCAGGGCCGGTGTGTTGCGTCCCGAGCAGTTTTTTGAAAGCCCCTGGGCCCGGCGCGGGCCCGCAGAGGCCGAGAGCTGCCGCAAAAACCTCCCGTCGTGTTCTTTTCAAGGCGCGAGCATGTCTGGGACACAGGCTCGCGTCGCACGCAGGCCCGCACGTGTGCACACGACTCAGCTTCGCCGCAACGGTTGCTGAGCAAGCCTGCAAAGGTCGGTCGCCCAGCAACGGTTGCTCAGCTGTGCAGCGAAGGGTCGGTCGCGCCTCGCAGGGCCGCTGAGCGAGCCGCGCGACTGCCAAGTCTGGGACGAAGCAGTGTTCGAGTAGGGGATTGATCACATAATTGATTTGCCCCCAGAACAGTTCCCTCGTCGAATCTACGAGACGAATGCGCAGAACGCTCCGTAGACCCAGGGCGCAGTCTGGGTATTTGGAACATCGGCGAGAAAAACCCACTTCTGGAGAACATCAATTCTGTAGTCGATCTCCTACTCGAAGTGTGCACACGAGCCCGTGGTGCACGCGAGCCCGTGGTACAGACGAGCCCGTGGTGCACAAGAGCCCGTGGTGCACGCGAGCCCCTGGTGCACACGAGCCCGTGGTGCACACTCGAAGTGTGCACGCGAGCCCGTGGTCACGCGGACCCTGCGCCAGTGCACGTGGAGGGCCCCGCGGAGCGGGCTTTCGGGGCCCCGCGGCGTGTACGCGAGCCGTGGCCTTTCTGCGGTGTGCGCGCGGGCATCCGCGCCGGCCGGCGTGCGCGCGGCGACCGCCTGCTGCGCGTCTGCTGCGCGTCTGCTGATCGTCTGCTGCGCGTCTGCTGCCTCCCCCTCACAAAAAGTTGCTCTCCACTGCAGCCAGCTCTGCGCACCCCCAATGGCCGCGACGGAACAGCAATATCAGTGATTCAGAGCAGGCTTCAAAAATACACGAGACCAGCTCTTCCAGAAACATGTGCACCAGCGCGTCTGCCGTCTCCCTGGTGGTCGGCGTCTGCCAAACGGTGCGGTGACCACTCCAGGGGTGCCCAGATCGTCCCGAACGGCCGCCGGATACCCGATTTATGACCTGGAAGCCAAACATTCGGAGGAGGGCCAGTGTGGGGAGTCAGTGGGGATTCGGGATGACCGCTCGGTTTTGGGACTGGGGTCGTTCTCCGAGGATGTCTCGGTTGACTGGGGCCTCCGAGGTCCCAAGACCGTGCAGTGAGGGACAGTGCGGTGAGGTCTCTGAGGATATCGAGGTCGCCGCACGGTCCGTCACCGCACGGGTTTGTAGCCCCCATCTTTCGAATCGCGGTCGCGGCCGTCATTCGGAATGTCGGGCGACATCTTTTGACAGCACGGGCTCATTGAGTTTCACCAAGCCCTCGGAAGCTCAGGTTCCGAGCGGTCGTGGAAGCAGTCGCGGCGAGCGTTTTCGCCATGGTCGTGGGCCCTGAGGTCTTGCCGCATCGATCTGTCTCAAGGGATGCCGCAGAGAAATGGAGTCGAGGGGTCTGGTGCCAATTTTCCGCGTTGTTGTATCGGTTCTCGCGACGTGGGATCTCGGGGAAGCCTTCAGCACGTGTAACTTAGGTCTAACCTTTTGGCATACATCGCTCACTGGCAAGGCCAGGACGCTGTGTCCACCAGGATTCCGCCCGAAGTGCGCCTGTGCACGCATGTTGGTATTGGCCTGTTTCCTTGTCCCCAAGGCGATCGCTCGAGAGTACGACAAATGGCAGAAGTTCGATGTGGACGCGGAGTGCCTGAACCTCGACAACGAGAGCACCACAGCAGAGGGGGACCGGACGCGCGTCTCGGCTGGACCTCAGAGTGCGATGCTGCAGTGTGAGAACTATACCAAGGACCGGGAAGAATACGATTTAGACCAAGACATAGATAAGCAGATGGGTGGCCTCAAGAAGGTCATCGCGCAGCGTGTCAAAGACGCAGTGGCGCGGAAGGACGAAGGCAATAAGCTCATTCGTGCTGGACGCAGCAGAGAAGCATGTGTTGCCTACGCAAGAGGCCTAGAGGAGATGCATCTGTGTGAGCAGGCATCTGTGCTTATGTCGGACTCCGTGCAGGACAAGAACAAGCGCCTCGTGTCTGACCTGCAGCGCAACTTGGCTGCTGCGCAACTGGAGGCCGGAGAGTTCGAGGGGGCCGTCGAGATCTGCACCGGCCTGCTGAAGTCATCTGGCGGCAACGACGAGAAGGCGCTGTACAGGCGCGCGATGGCGCTTTTGCAACTGGGCCGCGCTGGCGACGCCGAGGGGGACATCGCCTCCCTGGCGGCGAAGCGCGGGGACGCCGATGCCGCGGTCCGCCGTCTCCGCAGCCAGAGCGCCGCAGTCAATTGAGCGCGGCTGCGCGCGATCGCAGGCCGCCTCGCGGCAGGCAGCGAGGGCTGTCGCCTCTCCGCCGGCCAGCTGGATGCGGGCCCAGGTGTCGCGAAGCTAGCATCCCGTCGAGGACGTCGACGGCGACGGCAGCGGCAGCCTTCTCCGGGACTGGCTTTCAATCCCGAGTCGCTCACTGCCGGCTCCCCCAGGCCCGGGAACGGCCTCCAGAGGCCGAAAACGGGGGGAGGAGTGTGCCGCCGCGATTTTTTCTGCCACGCCCAGACCTGGCATTACGTCCGGTAGGTTCCTCTACAGGAGGAGTGTTCAAAAATAGTCAAGAAAGTATGGGAACGACGTTTCGATTCTTTTTTGACCATTCTTGATTCTGTTTTGGCTATTTCCCTACCTAGGCTAGGCCTAGAAGGGTTCTTACTCGCTTGGCTTGAAGGGGCTGGGCAGTGCAAACCGCCCCGGGCGGTTCCCCCAGTCCCCTGGGAGCCAAGCAAAAGCAACAGCAAAGGCAAAAGCAACGGCAAGAGCAAAAGCAAAGGCAATGCAAAGCAAAAGCAAAACCAATGCGAAAGTGTAGATGTAGATGTAGATGTAGATGTAGGTGTAGGTGTAGATGTGGATGTAGGTGTAGATGTAGATGTAGATGTAGGTGTAGATGTAGATGTAGATGTGAGTCTCGCTGCTGATGTAGATGTAGATGTAGATGCAGGTGTAGATGTAGATGTAGCTGTAGGTGTAGATGTATATGTAGGTCTAGATGTAGATGTAGGTGTCGATGTAGATGTAGCTCCCCAGTGCCCCGCCCTCATCTCCGTGCCTGCTTGCTTTTGCTGCTGTCTCGGCGACTTGCTGCCTGCTTCTGCTGCTGCTTGACTTACGGCGTGGCGTCGGCGTTTCTGGCGCTACTACTACTACTACTAGTACTACTACTACTACTACTATTACTACTACTACTACTACTACTACTACTACTGCTTCTAGTACTACTGCTTCTACTACTACTACTACTACTGCTACTACTACTACTACTACAGCAACTACTACTACTACTACTACTACTACTACTACTACTACTACTACTACTACTACTACTACTACTACTACTACTACTACTACTACTACTACTACTACTACTACTACTACTACTACTACTACTACTACTACTACTACTACTACTACTACTACTAGTACTACTACTACTACTACTACCACTACTGCTACTACTACTACTACTACGACTACTACTACTACTACTATTACTACTACTACTACTACACTACTACTACTACTACTGCTACTACTGCTACTGCTACTGCTACTGCTACTGCTACTACTGCTACTGCTACTGCTACTGCTACTGCTACTGCTACTGCTACTGCTACTGCTACTGCTACTGCTACTGCTACTGCTACTGCTACTGCTACTGCTACTGCTACTGCTACTGCTACTGCTACTGCTACTGCTACTGCTACTGCTACTGCTACTGCTACTACTACTGCTACTGCTACTGCTACAACTACGCTACGATGAGGAGAAGGAGGAGGACGGCGTTTATCGCTCCTACTAGTGTTGCTTTCCTAGAGGCTCCAACTCCTAGGTTGGGTCGCGCTGGGATAATTTGACCATTCTTGATTCTGTTTTGGCTATCTCTTGTTTTCCTCCAACATCTGCCTGCCGGGGGACATGCTCGACCCAAACCCGGCGCGGCGGCGACGGCCACAGGGCGACGGCCACAGGGCGACGGCCACAGGGCGACGGCCCCTCGAGGGCCGGAGGCGGCAGCGAGCTCGCGGAGGGCACCGAGCTGGCCGAGGGCAGGCCGCAGCCTCCGAAAGGCTGGCCCGCAGCGGGCCCCCTCGGCGGCAGCGCGCCCGCTCGGCGACCCCCCCCCCGGGAGGGCGGGCGGCTCCCCGCAGCTCGCCGCAGGCCGCCCGAGCGCGCCAAGGCGCGCGCCCGGGCGCCCCCGCGCTCCCTGGCCGCCCCGGCGGCCGAGGAGGCCGCGTCCAGGCCTGCCGGCGGCCGGGGAGGTGCCGCGCTCTCGCGCTGGCGCGCGCCCCAGAGGGGCGGGCAGCTGGTGCGGCGCGGCCCCGCGGGCAGTAGTTAGGAGGCCGCCCCGTCCTCGTGCTCGTCCTCGTCCTCGTCCTGGTCCCTCGTCCTCCTCGTCGTGCTCGTCCGCCTCGGCCTCGTCGTCGTCCCCGTCGTCGTCCTCGTCCCCGTTCGTCGTCCTCTTCGTCGTCCTCGTCGTCGTCCTCGTCCGCCTCGTCCTCGTCCCCCTTTTCCCTCCTTCCTCTTGACGCGCTTCCCCTCTCCTCCTCTTCCTCCGCCGCGTTCCCCTCCACCTTCCCCCCCAGCTTCTTCTTCCACTTCCGCCGCGCGCCCCCCGTCCTCGCCCCAGACACGTGATGTGTTGACCTTTTCAATGCGTGGCCCCCCAAAAGTCCCGATCCTTTCCCATGGGCCTGTGTTTCATCCCGAACAGTTTCTTGACGGTCTTGGGGCCCGCCGCTCTTGGTACCGGCGCAGGCCCCCCGAGTCCCAACATGGGTCAAAACCTCCCGTCATGTTGTTGTTGTTGTTGTTGTTGTTGTTGTTGTTGTTGTTGTTGTTGTTGTTGTTGTTGTTGTTGTGTTTGTTGTTTGTTGTTTGTTATTTGTTGTTTGTTGTTTGTCGTTTGTCGTTTGTTGTTTGTTGTTTGTTGTTTGTTGTTTGTTGTTTGTTGTTTGTTGTTTGTTGTTGTCGTTGTCGTTGTCGTTGTCGTTGTCGTTGTCGTTGTCGTTGTCGTTGTCGTGTCGTCGTCGTCGTCGTCGTTGTTGTTGTTGAACATTATTACTTCTAAAGAATAATTATTGTTGGGACCCCTGGTGCACGGCCCCCCCGCCGCGCCTAGGCCGCAGCCACATTTTCATCATTTTCGTGAGGAAGTCTCAGGCAAAACGGGTTGGTCCGGATCCGGTTGTTTTGTTCCCCCCCGCTTTCCCTGGCAAAAAATAAGCTAAAGTGGACATTTCTTGTTCTAACATAACCAAACTTCAAGAATCCCTTGCAAAAAATAAGGTAAAGTGGACATTCGCGTGCGCAAGACGAAATCCTTCCAAAACCTTAGTTTTCGTAGCGATTTTAACATAAAAACATCAAAAAACCAATGGTTTTTCAAAAAAAATTGTCAAAATTTCATCCCGCGCGCTCTTGCGGATTCGTAGGAAACCCAACACTTTTTAAACATTTCTGTCAAACGGGCTTTTGCGAGCAACTTTTTCGAACTTCTGCAACAACGGTTGCGCACCTGCCAGGGCCATCATCCCTGTCAAATAATACCATGCGGGACACATTCGTTTTTTCTTCGCGCGCGCACGCCGTCGTCGTCGGCCGCGGGGCCCTGAATAGTAGCCACGGTCGTCCGCATGCCACGAAGTGAAGTGTCCGAACGTCATAGGGCGGGAAGCTGGGTGTGGGTGGTGGCGAAGAGTCGTTTGGAAATTTGGTAGAGCTTGAACCGGCCCCCCCACAAAGTGGGGGTATTGCCCGCCTCCTATGAAAACCCTGGCACTGGTGAGAACGGACTGTCCCCACGTGCTAGTAATTGTTGTTGTTGTTGTTGTTGTCTCGCCCCAGACACGTGATGTGTTGACCTTTTTAATATGTTGCCCCCCAAAAGTCCCGACCCTTTCCCCAGGGCCTGTGTTTCATCCCGAACAGTTTCTTGACGGTCTTGGGGCCCGCCGGTCCTTGGGACCGGCGCGGGCCCCCCGAGTCCCAACATGGGTCAAAATTTCCCGTCATGTTGTTGTTTGTTGTTGTTGTTGTTGTTGTTGTTGTTCTTCTTGTTGTCTCGCCCCAGACACGTGATGTGTTGACCTGTTCAATGCGTGGCCCCCCAAAAGTCCCGACCCTTTCCCCAGGTCCTGTGTTTCATCCCGAACAGTTTCTTGACGGTCTTGGGGCCCGCCGCTCCTTGGGACCGGCGCGGGCCCCCCGAGTCCCAACATGGGTCGAAACCTCCCGTCATGTTGTTGTTGTTTGTTGTTGTTGTTGTTATTGTTGTGGTTGTTGTGGTTGTTGTGGTTGTTGTTGTTGTCGTTGTTGTTGTTGTTGTTGTTGTTGTTGTTGTTGTTGTTGTTGTTGTTTGTTGTTGTTTGTTGTTGTTTGTTGTTGTTGTTGTTGTTGTTGTTGTTGTTGTTGTTGTTGTTGTTGTTGTTGTTGTTTGTTGTTGTTGTTGTTGTTGTTGTTGTTGTTGTTGTTGTTGTTGTTGTTGTTGTCACGTCGCGAGCATGCCTGGGTCTTCCTCCCCCCTGCCTCTTCCTCCACACTCCCCCACGACCGACTCCTCTGATTAGATTCGGTGTTTGTTACGCGTGGAGTAGCTGCAACCCCGTAGTCCCGTAGATCTCGCTGCTGAGCCCCGTCTTGCTGGCTTCTTCTTTCCTGCATCTCGAGGGGCGGCCCTCGTCGTCTTGCATCCAGGCTCGATTTCGGCCAGCTCTTTGGCCACGTCCCCCTGCTCCGTTGTTAGCCGTTACAGCCGCTACAGCTTCTTGTTATCCTCCTCCTCCGCCTCCTCGTCGTCATTCGAATAACAAGGACCCGTGCGCGGACGCCGCCGCCACTGTGGCTCACAGCGTGCACGCGATATCAGCCGATAAGGAGGACAAGGGCCGCCGCTATGCTGTTACCATTGCCGCTACTACCCACAATTTCAGTTCCTCCTCCTTCCTTTCTTCTTCAATCAGGACGAGGATGACGAGCACCCCAACTCTGCCCCGCGCACGCGGCAGCTGCACCTACAACGGGCATTCCTGCGCTACTTCGACGAACAGGAGCGACACGAGTTCCGCAAGGGGCACGCGGACGCCGGGGACAACGCCGGGCTACGGCGGTTCGACGACCTCGAGCAATCCGAGACTGACCACTTGGTTGTGGAACATTTCGAGGCACAAAAGCCCCGTGATGGACAGCATCGACTTCGTCGAGGCCGCGCGCCTCCACGTTGGCGCCGCCGGGCCGGTGGACCCAGTCCCGTGCGGTCTCTGCGGTCAGGCGATCGTCGACTTGGCAGGGTCACGCGCGCTCTGCTGCTGGCGCGCGGAATTGACCCATGGGCGCGTAGCGCGCCGAATGCACGCTGCAGCCAGAGTGTGCGACACCCGCGCAGAGCTCGAGGCCCCGGGCTTGGTACGCGCTTCCGACCAGCGGACGTGCTGACTGGTGCCCTCGGCAACGCCCTTGTGGCCCTCGACGTGGACATCGCTCGCCCGACGCCGTGGCGGCCGACCCAGACTGCGAGGCCACCGCGTGCTGGCGCGCAAGGCCGAGTGCTGCTCGGCGCGCGCCGATTTCTGGCGCAGCAGAACATCGCCTACCAGCCGCTGGTCTACACCTGCCACGGCGGGCCCCGCCCCCAGATGACAGCCATCCTCCGCGCTCTCGCGACACAGCAATCGCAGAGGCGTGGCTTTTCTGATTGGGAGTGGCGGTGCAAGCGGCTTGCCGCGGCCATCGGCACTGAAGTGCGGCGCCGCGCCGCCGGGCAGGTGCAGGCGTGTTGGCCCGACCGGGGCGAGAGCGCCGCCAAGGCCCCCCCCTGCCCGCGACCTTGGCGCACCCCTCCTCCGCCTCCGCCCGCCGCCGCGCGCTCGCGCGCCTAACGGCGGGGCTGGTGGCTCTCGCCCCGCGGCCGCGCCCGCCCGCCCTTCCGCCGCGTGCCTGTCCGCCTGCCTGCCCGCCTGCGCGCTTGCCTGCTCGCCCTCCCCTCCTCCTGGGCCCAGAGGCCGCGGGCTGTCAGAGCGCGCTGGATTTGTGTTCTCTGGCGTTTTTAACCTCGGGGCGATTGCTGCAATGAGGCCGCCGGCGCGTGGGTCAGCAACTTCGGCTACCGCGCTCCCGAGGCGCCCGACAGGAATCCATATGCCGAGACGTGGTTTCGTTAGATTCCGTACTATTGAGCAGTATCTTCGCCCGATCCGAGGCCGCCGTGCCCGGTTTGCTCCGGCTTGTGTGCGTGATGCTCGGTGCCGGGCATGGCGGGGCAGATCGCCGCCAACCGGATGTCGGCGATGCACGGTGTTGTCCCGACTGCAGGCCGCAGCCGGCCAGGCGCGCATCTGGCGAGTGTTGCAGGCGCCGCGTCCGCCTGCAGCCAGTGCGACGGATGCGCCGCGCCCGCTGCTAATTGGGTCTCCCGTCTCATCTCCACCTTCCGCCAGCAGTTCGGCAACCTCGACCTGCCTTGCTGTTTTATCTGCTGCAGGTTTTCCCTCGAGGCCGGTTTCGATGGCGACTTCGCTGCCGCCTTGGCCGACCTTCCTCCGTGATGAGGCCTTCAGGCATGCCGCTGGCACTTTTCATTGTCGTGCTGCGTCTTGCCAAAACCTCTGACCGCAGACTCTTCCACCAGTAACTGGGGAACTGGCCCCGCCTGTGCGCCGCGTTCTGGTCGGCCTGGGCCGCGACCGCCTGTCAGCGCCACCGCGGGCGCGCAGCCCGCTCGCCCTTCAACGAGGTAGCAACCTTGGGGGCAGGCAGAGTTGCGCCACTCACGTGACCGCGAGACCTGCGGCCCCGCTCTCTGGTGCACGCTGTGTGCACTGGCGCTCGGACGCGCGATGCGCAGAACGCGTGGCCTCAGGCGTGCTGACTCGCTCGTCGTGCCGTTGGCCGCAAGACCACTTTTGCGCCTTTCGCTGTGCCCACGGTTCCAGGCGCGCGGCCACGCGGCAACCTGCGCGCCCTCTGTCGCGTCTGCTTCGAACACAGAAGTGTGCGCTGCGCCCCGTTCGTGGCGGCTGTTCTGTCGCTTGGTATTCGCTGGCGTGGGGCGCGCCTGCGCATGGTCAGTGCGCGGCGGTGCTGGCGCTCGCGGTGTGCGCCGTCTGTGTGCGCCCATGTGCTGTCCGGCGCGCCTGGGGCATCGGTTGTGCCTTGTGATGCAGTAGCACAAGCACTGTGTGCGATGCCTTGGTGCATCCATGCGTCGTGCCACGCGTGCTGGGCCACTGTTTGCGCCGGGGGGTGCCAGCGCGCGCGCGCAGTGCTGTGCCCGAGCGCACCTGCGCGTCCTGCAGCGCGCGCTGAGTGACAGCATGCTCAAGCGCGCGCCGAAACGTGCGCGAGGGGCAGTGGCGTGCCGCGCCTGCTGCGCGCAACCGTGCGCTGGGC